ATCCACAAACATGATCCTTAGGTTTCCCTCCAATCCAAACCATTCCATGATTTCCTCCTGCCTCCTCAGGGTGCAAAGGGATTGAATCACTTGATTATCCACAAACAAAAATCATCCTGTAATTCACCCCTTTGACCAATATTGTACACCAAAAACCCCGTTTGTTGAGCTGCACTTCCAGCCCCCAGGAGGTGAAGGGCTGTTGTTATCCCAGTGAAGTGAGTAACTGCTGTAATTGCAGAGCTCTCCCAGGGGGGATGCATGAGCTCCTTCCGCTGGAACGGAGGAGGGGATTTCAAGGGCCGGAAGTGGGACACGGACCTTCCCACCGACTCCTCGGTGAGCTTCCAGGCACACCTGGACCCCAGGGGTGCTTGGGTTTTGGGATAGGGCTTGGAGGGAGCAGCCAGGAAGCCTTTGAGGAGCATGGGAAAATCAGAAAAGCACAGCTTTGCTGCTGGATAATTAAAGAGATTCCATTGCTGGAAGTGGAAAATCAACATTGAAATAGGATTTGATTTTCTGGTTGGGAACGCGGTTAAATATTTGGAATTGTCCAGCTATGGAGCAGCTCTGAGTGTCCTGATAAACAGGAAAAGTGAAAATGAAGAAGTTTTGACATTAATTTAAGGCTATTAGCAAAAAAAAAAAAAAAAAGACAATTTCACATTTTTCTTAATCGTGGGTGATACAATGCTCTGAGGTCCAAGGTGCATATCCCAGATTTTTTAAGATTTGTGGCATTTTTTTTTAGCAAATCCTCTGTTCTCCCTTCCAAACAGCGCCTGTTGGGTATAAGGAACACAGAAAGCACCAGATCTCAGATAACTTGATGTTACCCACATAAAATATTGAGAGCTCTCCAGAAGGGGTTGAAACCCCCTGGCTTTCAGGATCCCAGGACTTTATTTCACAATTTTGTCATTCTTCAGGCTTGTGGCCAGCCCAGGCTTTGCAGTGACTTTCATGAGGGAAAGGGAGAAGTTTCCTTGCAGGGTTTGGGGTGGGCAGAGCTGGTTTTTGAGCTCCTCTGCCGTTCTCAGCCAAATCTGAAATTGGTGATTTGGGCATGAAGCTGCTCCTAAGGCTGGGGTTAAACCAGCATTGTAACTATAGATTATCAAAGGCTGGGATGACCTGCTGGGATTAAGGGAGGGAGCTGCTGGCTTTTGGGGCCCTTGCAGTGAGATTTGGTTGTGTTTGCCCAGATCCTGATGCACGTGTTCTGCACTTACCTGGACTCCAGGCTCCCGCCTCACCCCAAGTATCCTGATGGCAAAACCTTCACTTCCCAGCACTTCATCCAGACTCCAGATAAACCAGGTACTGGGCTGGCCTGGAGCTGCTCTTTTCCTCTGGGATCACAGCAGCACCTCTGAAACCTGTTTTTTTAATTAATTTTTAATTCAGACACTTCAAACGAAAACGTGTTCTGCATCTACCAGAGCAGCATCAACCCACCCCACTACGAGCTGATCTACGAGTGCCACGTCTACAGCCTGCCCAAGGTACAGGGCTTTGTTCTCCTCCTGCTCTCAGCAATCATTTCCAGGGCTCATTTGGGGTCTTTTTAAATCCTACACACGTTTGTGTCCATTTACACCGAGGCTGGTCCAGCTTGGTCTTTGCCCAGCACGTGCTGCTTGCTCTGCTGCTGAATACTGCCTGAGGTGTCTGTTTAGGAGACTGGAGCTCCTAAGCAGGATCTTCCTCTTAGTAATTTTCTGCCAATTTATTGTAAAACCCCAAATCCCAATCCCTGGTGGGTGATGTCACTGATGTCACCCCTTGAGGCCAGTGCAAATTCCGAGGGGAAGTTCCAAATTAGGAAAATCCTGAGATTTTTAATTGTTTTGATTTCTAAATCCGTGTCTCTCTCTGTGGCTCCAGGGCAGGAACAACATGTTCCACACCTTGCTGATGTTCCTGTACATCATCAAGACAAAGGAGTCTGGGATGTTGGGGTAGGTATCCCAGGGAGCAAGATGGGAATGGTGTCAGACCAAAACTACCCCAGGGGGGTGATAATTAATGGTGCTAAAATCGAATTAACAGCAGCTTTTAAATGGAAATGGCTAATTGTGATTCCTTTGGGTTTTGCAGGCGTGTAAATCTGGGTTTATCAGGAGTCAACGTCCTGTGGATCTTTGGGGAATAATGGAACTGTGACTCAAACATGGCCGTGCTGCAATCCAGGAGAATTAAAGCTCAGCTTTGTGCACAGAGGGAGGAAGTGCCTGCAGTTGCCCTGTGGATTTTGTCGAGGCATTACATGGAGTATTTCACTGTGGGAATGCTCCTGTGAATGAACTCCAGGCAGGAGTTCTCCTTCCTGCTCCTCACCTCCAGCAGCCCTGTTAGACTGAGCTTCACTGATCTCAGACTAAACCAAACCAAACCAAACCTCCTTGGAAGGTGCAGCTGCAGCCTCCCCAAGGCTGTGCACAGCTGTGAGCACTTGGAGGGATAAAGCAACTTGGACAACTTCAGGATCCAAGAAATTCCAAGTCTGGAAGCTCAGACTCAGTTTTGCTTCATTTTAAAACCAATTATTTTTATCCCTGATTATTGGTGTAATTGTGATTTCTGACCCCTCAAGATGTTCCTGCAGCTGAAAAGGAAAGACAAAACCATGTTTGTCTTGCTGAGTTCAGCAAATAAGAATTTTACTCCTATTTTTAATTTTTATTTTCGTTGTTTTGTACAACGTAGGTACCCAGGTACCTTCACTGCCACCAACTCTCACTGCCTTTGCTTTTGAATTTAATTTTCCTTCAGCTTTTTTCTCTAATCTGGGAGCTTTATGCACCCTGGTGGGAAACCAGGCCCTACACACCCACAGGTTTTTGGGAATGTCCATTTTTTTTTGGTAAAAGCACTTGGATTTGCTTCAAAGAAAGGATCAATCAATATTTGTCAAATTTCTCTAAGGGGCAGGGGGAGAATTTGTTGTAAATTCTGGTAAATGAGTATTTTAGAAGTGTATATAGGACATGAACACATGGAATCATTGTACTGTATTTTTTACTGAGGGGAGGGAAAGAGGGATTTTTGGAACTTGGCTGTTTTTTGGTGTGAACTGATTGGTTTTGGTGACTCTGTCTCTCTTCCCTGGGGGACCTGGGTTTTTCCAAGGAACTGGTAAGAAAGTGGCTCGTTTGGTTCTTGTATTAAATGAGTTTGTTTATCAAACACTTTTTGGGGTTTTTCTTGTGTTCAGCCTGACCACGTCCATCCATGTACCACAGAGGAATGCTCAAGAACCACATTTAGATGGGTTTTACCCCAAAGCTCTCCCCTCGAGGGCAGCACAGCCCTGTGATGTCCATCAATCTCACACTTGAAGTGCAGAAATCCTTTTTTTCACCAAAAAGTGGGGATCCTCAGGAGGAGCCCATCCCATGGGGCACCTTTGGGTGCCCTGGGCTCTGCAGCCCCAGGACCCTGCACGCTTTTGGGGTACCCAGAACCCAAATTCCTCTGTGCTCCCAGGATCCTGCACAGCCTCTTCCCACATCCCCCACATGGATCCTTCTGCACCCCAAGGGATCACAGATCCCACTCCCTGTGCACCCCAATGGATCACACATCCCAGTCCCTGTGCACCCCAATGGATCACACATCCCAGTCCCTCTGTACCCCAAGGGATCACAGGTCCCAGTCCCTGTGCACCCCAATGGATCACAGATCCCAGTCCCTGTGTACCCCAAGGGATCACAGATCCCAGTCCCTGGGTACCCCAAGGGATCACAGATCCCAGTCCCTGTGTACCCCAATACTCTGTGCTTCACACTCAGTCCCTGTGCACCCCACTGTGTCACACACCCCAACAGATCACACCCCTCAGTCCCTGTGCCCCCCACTGTGTCACACACCGCAATAGATCACACTCCTGAGTCCTTGTGTACCCCAATACACTGTGCACCCCAAGAGATCACACATCCCAGTCTTTGTGCACCCCAATACCGGGTGCACTCTGCTCCCTGTGCACCCCAATACACCACAAACCCCCCTCTGTGTGCACCCCCATGTATCCCACACCCCAGTCAGTCCCTGTGCTCCCTAAAACCCATCCACCCTGCTCCCTGTGCACCCCAGCACATCACACACCCCAAAGCACTCTGCACTCCCAGCACAGACCCCAGACTCCTGTGCACCCCAGTCCTGGTGCCCCCTGACACCCTGTGCACCCCAAATTCATCGTGCACCCCGTTCCTGCTCACGTTCTGCACCACAGACCCTGCTTCCCATGTACCCATCCTTGTGTACCCCAACACTGCACACCCCCTCCTTGTGTACCCCAATTCTTCACACCCCCTGCTCCCCGTGTACCCCAACACTGCACGCCCCCTCCTTGTGTACCCCAACTCTGCACACCCCCTCCTTGTGTACCCCAACTCTGCACACCCCCTGCTCCCCGTGTACCCCAACTCTGCACACCCCCTGCTCCCCGTGTACCCCAATACACGGCACACCCCAGATCTTGTTCATTCCGATCCCTGCGCACGCCCCATATCCTGTGCACCCCAATTCCCGGGCACCCCGATATACCACGCATCCCACATCCCTGTGCCCTCTGGTTCCCCAGCACCCCAATATCTGCACCCTCTCACCTGTGTACCCCGTTACACTGCGCACTCCACTCTGCACCCTGCTCTCTCTGCACCCCAAAACACCGCACATCCCGCTCTCCCTGCACCCCAAAACACCGCGCACCCCGCTCTCTCTGCACCCCGTTATTCCACGCACCGCCTTCCCCGCGCATCTCGATCCCTGCGCACCCCTTTCCACCCCGCACACCCCAATCTCTGCATCCTCTCACCTGCGCACCCCAAAACACCCGCACACCCCGATCCCCGCGCTCCCCCGTTCCCGCACCGTTGCCAGGTGCATCCCGGCCGCGGCGGGGGCGGCCCGGCCCCTCCCGCCGGGGCGGGGCGGCTCCCGGGGGCGCGCATGTCCGGCCCCGCCCGTTAAATTCCGGCGGGCCGGGCCGGGCCGGGACCACCGGCCCTGCACCTGCTGCTCTCGCCATGGCCACTGACGGTGAGCCCGGCCGCCGCCGCCGCTGCTGCGCGCAGGACACGCCCGGTGAGCTCAGGGGAAGGGGGTGGGCACCGCCGGGGGTCCCCGGTCCCTGGGCACCGCCGGGTCACACCCCTCCCGAGCCACACACCGGACACCGAGCGGGATTTCCGCGCCGTGTACCGGGTACTGGTGGGGTCCCCCCTCCTGAGCATCCCTGGGTACCGCCCTGGGAGCTCTGTGTCCCCCCTGCGGGCTTTGGGGACCAAGGTGACAGCCCAGCACAGCAGCACTGCGCTGTCCTGGAGTCCGGGCAGGGTGTGGGGATGTGGCCCCAGTGTGACTCCAGCAGTCCCGCAGATGCTCCCAAGGTCCCGGATTCCCGCGGTGACAGTGACGGCTCCCGCCGGGGCTCCCTCTACGACCGGCACTGCGCTGCCATCAACAATGCGCAGGGGGACCTGGGGGACCTGGGCTGCCACCTGCACCGTCCCCGTGTCCCCCCAGGTAGGCCGGCTGTGGGGTGGGCTGGGTGTGGGGCCCTGGGGGGTCCCACACCCGCTGTGACACCCCCTGTGTGTCACCCACAGCCACGTCCACCCCGTCCTGCTGCCAGCAGCACTCGGAGGAGGTGTGCGAGAGCTGCGTGGTGAAAACCACCCTGACGGCCGAGAACGCCGTGGAGGCCAACAAGCTCTCCAACAACTACAAGGTGGGTGGGGGCACCCATAGGTGCTCCTGGAGGGCTGTAATGGGTTTTAATTTTCTTCCTCTTCGCTCATCCCAAAAAAACTCCTCTCTCTGCAGTTTGGCTTCAAGAAATGGAAGAGCCACGTGACGGCGCGGCCGTGGGAGGACCGGTCAGAGATTGTCAAGGAGCTCTACTCAGACCTCAACATCATCCGAGGCTCTGGAGGTGGGTGGCCTTGAGGACAACCCAGTGTGATTTGGGCATGTGACAATGGTCCCACCTGGTGCCTTCCCTCCTGCAGGGTCCACGCTGACGTGTGGGAATGTCCTTTACCTGCTGCTCTTTGGCTGGTGGCTCTCGCTCCTCTACGTCCTCGTGGCTGCCGTGATGTTCATCACCATCATGGGGGCTCCTTATGGTGAGTTCCAAATTTGGGACCCCCCCATGTGAGGGCTGGATGAGCTCAGAACTGCACCGGTGGGTGTTGGGGTCTCCTGGTTCCCTCCTCCATGGAATGTCCCTGTAGGTGGAAGGGACACTGATGGCTGTGTCTCCACAGGCAGGCTCTGCTGGGACCTGGCCGGGTATTTCCTCTGGCCCTTTGGCAAAGTGATCCAGAAAGTGGAGGTAAGGGTGCCTTGGGAGCCCCTGGGGGGGTCTTGGGGTGCCCCATGCACACCCTGACACCCCCCTTCTCCCCAGGTGCCCAAATCCCATCAGGCGTGTGAGGCCGGCGTGGGGGAGAGCTCAGCCCTGCTCGGGGGTCCCACAGCGCTCCGCTGGCGCCCGCGGTGCTGGGTGGGCACTGGATACTGGGTGAGCCCCATGCTGGACCCAGTGACATCACCCCTGGAGCCCCCAGCGGGTGGGCAAGGTGCCCGTGGGCCCCTTCCCTCCCTGGGGTCGTTGTTTTTGGGGTCAGTCCCTGAAGGTGACCTCTGTTAACAGCACCGTGCCAGCACCGCAGTGTGGCTGTGCCTGGGCTACCCGCTGCTGGCGCTGGCCCACGGGCTGGTGTGTGTCACCGCGTGGCTCCTCATCGTCCTCATCCCCGTGGCCAAGCTGAGCGCCCGCGCCGCCTCCCGCGTCCTGCTGCTGCCCCCGGAGCGCGTGCTCATCCGCTGCCTGAGGATGGTGAGCGACTCTGGGCAGGGCCAGGGTCCCACACCCCGCTCTGGGGGGGGATTTTGGGCTGGGGGTGACCCTCTTGTCCCCCTGCAGACAGAGGTGCCTCTGGAGGGAGAGGTGATTCTCTGCTGCTACCGCGCCGCCAACCCCTACTACTACAAATACGCCGTGGACGGCATCAACGTCTTCGCCGTCAGTATCCTTCCGGCAGCTGGGGGGGACGGGTGGGCAGCACCCCAAATCCACCCCGCTCTGCTGTGTCCTTGACTGGCCGCCCCAGACCTGCTGCCACTGGTGCTGGTGACGCTGGTGCTGGGCTACGTGGACAGCCCCAACCACCTGACCGGCTCCGCCGTCAAGTTCACCTTGGCGCTGCTCTCCATCATGCCCCTCTCCTACTACATCGGCATGGCCATCGCCAGGTGAGAGGTGACGGGGGACACTTGGTGGCGAAGTGGGGACACTCCAGCCCTGCTGTGACAGCTTTTTCCTCCTCTCCAGCATCTCAGCCCAGAGCAATTTCGCGGTGGGAGCGGTGGTGAACGCCACGTTCGGCTCCATCACTGAGCTCACCTTCTACATCACCGCCCTCATCAAGGGCTCGCGGGAGGGCAACCGCTGCTACGCCGAGGTGGTCAAGTCTGCGTTGACAGGGACACTGGTGGGCTGTGTCCTCTTTGTGCCGGTGAGACGGGTGGCACTGAGAGCTGGGAGGGTGCTGTGAGCAAAGCACTGATTTTTTTGGGGGGGTTTTCTCCAGGGTCTGTGCATGGTGATCGGGGGCATCCGGCACCAGGAGCAGCGGTTCAACAGCCGCTCTGCGGGTGTCAGCTCGGCCCTGCTCTTCCTCTCCGTGGGAGGTGAGTTGGGGACAGGGGTGTCCCCAGGTCTGGGGAGGTCTCACCAGGGTGGGTGCCAGCTCCGTGTCCTGTCCCTGCAGGTGTCTTTGCTCCAACGCTCTTCTCCAAGGTGTATGGAAAGCTGGTCTGTGGCGAGTGCCACAACGTCACCCAGAACCCGCTGGGCCACTACCTCTGCCACAACTGTCACTTTGACCTGGTGAGTGGGGACCTGGACCCCCAACAGGGGGAATTTGGGGTCAGGGATGCTCTGAGCCCCCCTGGCTCTCGTGCTGGGTGGTGGCAGCAGGGCTGTCCCTTGTCCCCCGTATCCCTGTTGACAGACGCTCTCTCTGCAGATGGACAACAACGGCACCCTCTACTACAGCCATGTCCAGTGAGTGTCCACTGTGGAGGGGACAGGGCTGTCCCCACACTGGGGTGGCACCTTCTGGGTTAGGTCATGTTCCTGCATCCCTCCCAGGGCCCCACTCCACCCCAATGATCCAGCGCCCCATTTCCTCATCCCCAGGGGAAGTTCCCTGGGGTGTCCATGCCAGACCCTGGTGGCACTGACAGTGTCACCTGTGTCCCACAGACCCCTGGTGTACACGGTGTCCATCCTGCTGCCTGCTGCCTACCTCATCGGGCTCTTCTTCACCCTCAAAACCCACACACACATCTACGACATCCACATCAGCGACTGCCACAGTGAGTGTCCCCAAATGTCCTGGCTGCAGGGCCAGCTCTTGTCACTGCTCTGGAGTGTCCCACACGTCTCTGCTCTCTCCCCAGTGCCTGGCCACCACCACAGTGCCGTGGTCCATTGGTCCCGCTGGCGGGCCCTGGTCATCCTCCTGCTCTCCACCCTCTGCATGTCGGCCTGTGCTGACCTGGCCACGGAGCACATCAGCCCCATCCTCACCAACTCCACCATCTCACAGGTGAGCTGCCTCTGCCTGTCCCTGAGGACCAAGATGTGCCCTCCAGGGATGGGGACCTGCCCTGGCTGCAGTTGGAACCCCAAAAGGACTGGGGGAAAGATGCTGAGATGCTCTGCACACTTGGCCAGGGCCTGGATGTGCTCAGGCCCAGGCTGATGTCACCTCTTCCCTGCAGTACTTCATCGGTGTCACCGTGCTGGCAATGGTGCCCGAGCTGCCAGAGATTGTCAATGGCATCCAGTTTGCCCTGCAGAACAATCTGAGCTTGAGGTGAGATGGCTCCAAGGATGAGTTTTGGGGTGGTTCCTGTGCCTGTCCTAATCCCATAACTGCGCCTTGGTGCCCATGATGGGCTGCCCAGCCACTGGTGGGTCAGTCTGTGTCAGCTTGTCCTCAAGGAGATTAGTCACCCAAAAAACGGTGTCAGAACTGGGATGGGCTCTGTGATTTGGGATTTTCTCACCCAGAGGCAGACCCTAAGCTGTCCTTCCTCCCCAGCATTGAGATCGGGAACTGCATCGCGGTGCAGGTCTGCATGCTCCAGATCCCCATCCTGGTGCTCTTCACCATCTTCTACGTGAGTAGCCCCAGGACAGCCCGGGGGGACCTCCTGCAGCAGGGTTGGGGACACGGTGTCCATGGGACATGGAAAGGACACAGCTGCCCTCGCCAGTGTCTCCTCTCTGCTCAGTGCAGGGGAAGTGGGGTCAGATGTCTCCTGGTGCTGTCCCCACCCTGGGGACGTGGGGCAGAGGGGGTTTAAGGGGTGACACACAAGTCCCCAGACAGAGTCAGTGTGGGGTTCTCCTGGTTGGCCATAAACCCCAAATCCTCTTCCTTGCAGCCAACCAACTTCACACTTGTCTTCAGTGACCTCCACGTCTACGCCAGCATGTTCAGCGTGGTGCTCATGAACTACATCTTCATGGATGGCAAATGTGACTATTTCCAAGGTGACCACCTCCCACAGGGCTGCTGTGGGACTTGGAACATCCCTGTATTCCCTGGGATGTGGGATGGGAGGCTCCTGGCTCCAACCCTGGGATCTTTTGGAGCTCTTGGCATGTGGTGACCTGAGCGATCCTGGGGTCTTGGTTGACCATCTTGGAGCTGTTCCCCTGCAGCAGCTCCAAGGGGGATCACTCCCATTTCCCCCTTTAAAATGTTTTAAACTCCCTTTTAATGGACATTTTGTAGAGAACCATGGAAGTCCTCTACAGGGGGCTAATCCAGACCACACCAGGCCTTAAACCCATGTCCCTCCTTGCTCCAGGGAGTAACTCCCTCCACCCCTCTCTGTCTGCCCCAGGCACGGTGCTGGTCATGGTTTACTTCATCCTCCTGGCTGTGTATTTCTTCGCCCCGTCGCCCAGCGGCTGCTGAGGTTTGGATTCTTGGATTCTCCTTTCTCCAACGCCCTCGTTGGGATCAGCACCCATCAAGACCTTTTCCAGTGTCTCAGGGACTTGGCCGGGCTGGCTCCGGTCTGGAAGCGCCGTTCCTGAAGCTCCTGCTGCTGCTGGGCTCCCCCTGTGGGGCTTCAGGGATGGGAAGGGTGGTGGCAATGGGGTCGCTCCCGAAATGAGGAGCCTCAAAACACATCACACAGGCATTTCCAGCCCACACTCGAGTGGCTGGAAGGAAAACTGTCCTTAGAGGAGGGTCTTGAAGGGGATTTCTGCGTGTCTCGAGGACAGACCCCTCCCTGGGGATGTGCTGCACTGGGAGAAGGTGCCTGAGAAGTCCCTCATCCTCCCAGGCCTGGGAATTGCACACGGGATGTTTGATGGCACCAGAAAAGCACCCAAAGGTATTTTCAGCTGTTTTGTCATTAAAGCAGTTTTGTACAAATCAGAAACAAGTTTGTTTCTCCTTAAATGAGCCTCAAGTGCCAGCCTGGGCCCCTCTGTGGCCACCATTCCCTGTCCTCTGTCACCTCACCCCAGGGACAGAGCCAGCAGGGGTGGCTGTGGGCTCCAGCTTTCTCCATGACCCTCCCAAAGTTCTAGCTCATCTCCAGCCTGGTCTTCTCTGACTGTCTTTGGCCCTCCTGGCTTTGAGGGCTGTCCCAGACTCCTGAGAAGGTTCAGGGATGCTCCTGGTGTTGTCCACAGGCTGTGACAGGCTGGGGACATCTCCCTCCATGCAGGGAAATACTGGTGGATGAGGTGAGAGGACAAAGTTGGGGCTTGGACTGATTTATTATCTTTTAAAAACAAAAAACAATCCCAAAGCAAAACACTGACAGATCCATTAACACAGGCAAGGAGGCTCTGGTGCCTCTTCCCCCTCTCCTGTTCCATCAGGATGTCCTTCAGCATAAAAACTAGGGAGTGCTGTCACAGGAGCCTGGGACTCTGACAGGATGGACAGCCCTGAGTGAGGCAGGAAGCAGCCTGGGACTGCTCTCCTTTGTGGGGAAGGCAGCAGCTCATTAGTGATTAATGAAGCTGCTTTATGAAGCCTTTTTGTTCTCCTAGGGAGGCATCAGCAGGGCCAATCCTGCTGTCTTTAGTCTGGGACATTTGAGAGCATTTCAGGGTGAGTTGCTGATGGCAGGACATGGAAAAAGGATGGGAGGGAGAGCAGAAGCTGTAGGAGAACCTGCTCAGTGCCATCATCTTACTGAGATTAAACAAAACATCTCTTCTGGGGCAAGGGCTGCTCAGGAATTCTGTTCTGAGCTGGCTTTCCCTGTCTCCTTGCATCCTGTCCCATCCCAGGCAGCCCTGTGGATGCTCCTACCCCTCTCCATCAGTTGCTGCAGGTGCTGGATCCTTTCCCTCTCCCTTAGGGAATTTTTAATTAAAGTCTTTACTTACAGGCAGTAGCCCAGCAGCAATTAAAGCCCCCCTTCAGCAGGAGCTGTGAGCTCAGTGCTTAAACCAAGTCATTTTTTTAGGATGAGCAGCCTCTCAAGATCTTGTGTCCCTCAGGGAGCAGCCAATGGAGGTTATGGAATGGGAAAGACCCCTGGAAAATCCATCAGTGGGTGGTGCTTGTACAGCTTTTATCAGCAAAAGAGAAGTCCTTGGACCTTTGTGGTTATCTTGGTGATGCTTTCCCAGCTGCTGGGGGTGGAGGGATCCACAGGGATCAAGTCCAACTCCTTGCCCTGCCCAGGACACCCCAACAATGCCACCCTGGCCCTGAGAGCTTTGTCCAAATGCTCCTGGGCCATGCCCATTCCCTGGGGAGCCTGGGCAGAGCAGGACAATCCCCTCCCCTGCTGCTGTCCCTGATGTCCCCAGGACAGAGGTGTCCCTCCTGGCTCCAGGCACTGCTGTCCCATCACCCAGGACTCCCAGATCCCTTAACACAGCTGCTCCCCAGCTTGTCCTGGACGCACTTTGTTCAAGTCTGAACATTCCATCTCCTGGCTTTCCTGGATCATGCAGGTGGGTTGTGCTGTTTTAGCAGGAAATCAAGGTGGCCAAGCAGGACTTCCCTCTCCTGAAGCTGTGCTGGCTGTGACCCCTTGTCTGTGCTGTCCACCAGAGCTTTTTTCAGTACTTCCCAGAATAATCTTTTCCAGGGTTTTACCAGGCACTGAAGTGGGACTGACAGTCCTGTGGTTTCCAGTGTCATCCCTTGAAAACTGGGACCAGCTTCCAGCCAGCTGAGACCTCTCCAGAGTCCCAAGACTGCTCCAAAATCATTGAGAGAGGCTTTGTGACAACCTCAGAGAAAGCTCCAGAGAGTTCCAGAGTAAGAAAAACCTAAGAACCTAAGGAATGTGCTTGCTCAGAGATGCAGGCTTGGATAGCTCCAATATCCCCTTGGGGATGAGGAGAGATGCTCTTTAAAGCAGGTGAGAGAAAAACCAGCACAGGGATGACCAGGCAGCTCCAGGACAAAGGTCCACAAGACAAAGCTGGAAGTGTGGATATTCAGCCTCAGAGTTTGGGATGGAAGAAGGAGCTGGAGAAATGGTTCAGCAGGTCCCTGCAAGCCAGGGAGGCTGGGAAGGGGTTGAAATGCACAATTCCTGTGAAGGTGCAATGCAGGGGATGGAGACACCAGAGCTCCAAGCAGGTCCCACCAGTTCCTGTGGTCCAAGCACCTGAGAAAGCCTCAGCTGTGAGCTCCAGACTTTTTTTGAGCCTTGTGGGGGGAAAAAAGCAGCAACTGAAGCTGGAGAAAGAGGAAAATCTACTCCTAAGACCAGGAGAAGGTTAATTTTGGGACAAGGGGTGAGCTCCCTGTGTGGGGGGCAGTGACTCCAGCAGGCAGCACCTTTGGATTAACAACATGAAGACAATGCTATGGTTTATTTAAACATAAATGCAATCTCTTAAAAAGAAACTAAAACTCCAGAGTGTAACCTCTGCCTTTGATGAAGAGGAAAGCATTGGAAAAAGCTGATTTTAAAAACAAAAGGCACTTAAAAATGGGCTCCAACTGAAAAGGATTTTGCACAAACCTCATGCCTGGAGCTGTTCAGAGTTCAGTGGCCACTTAAACAAATGCAGTGTAGAGAGCACAAGAGGACCAGAGCCACCCTTTCCTGTGCACAGACAATCCCTGTCCCCAGAAGGAGGGACAGTTGTTCCCTCTCCCCTTTTTTGGATGCTGTATTTCTACACAGCCACTCCCCAAACGGGCTTTAAATCACATCTCCCACCCTCAGGGGACTGTGAAGCAACAAGAAAAAGGCATATTTGGGACACGTGGGAGGAAGGAGAACCAAAAGCTGGGAGATGCTGAGAACCAGGGCTTGGCTGAGCAGGTTCAAAGAGCTCTGAAATCTACAGGGTAAGTTTTTGCTGGAGCTCATTCTGGGTGCAAAGCGAGCCGAAAAGGTTAAAAAAGCCTCAGGAAAACCTTTTCCCTCCCCACCCCCAGTAAACTACACAGTAGTCCCTTAAGTGGCAACTTTTTCCCAGTCTTCCAAGCAAACCTTTCAATATGAAAAGGGGAGGACACAGACACTGCACCAGGGAAGCTGCAGGGGCCAAGCTTGGCTCGCCGCCCCGGGCGACGTTCCAGCCGTCTCCGGAAGCTCAGGGGTGGGAACATGCCCGTGGAACACATGCAGGGCTGCAGGAATGGCCTGGCTTTGGAGGGAGGGGCAGCTCAGCTGGCTGGGAGGACGGGGCATCCACAGCAAAAGAACAGCTTGGTGGGTGTTCTGCATCGAACGTCCTCGTTGGGTGACATGGTGGAAGTGCCAAGGTGAAGGTGCCACGTGTAAGCACGGGCTCAGACATTCAGGAACTCATTAAGCTGCCCAGTTAATTGCAAGCGTGTGCTGATGACAGGTTGCTGGTTGGCTGCTTAGTCTCAGAAAATACTTTTGGATTAATGGTGTGACTTAGAGCTCCATAAATAAAAAGGGGATTTTTTGCAATGACTAAAAGTAACCATGTCTGGAAAGGCATTGATGTATTTGCTGAGTAAGGCCTTGAGCAGGTTCCTCCATGTTCTTAGCAAGACCATCCATGGAATCCATAAATAAGGGTGGGAGGGGGAATTCTTCAACGTGGTGAGTCTTGGACACAAGTGGGAGATCTCTCATTTTAGTCGCTCAACGAGTCCCTGCGTCAGTCCAAGGTGCAAAAGCTGGGATCTGGAGAGAGTTGCTAGGTGAGGGAAAGATGCCAGGAGCTTCTCCCAGCACAGTTCCAGCAGGCTGGGCACCACCAGCCACATTTTGAACAGGGAGCCAGTCCGTTTGTTTTCGTGGATGTTGACCACCCCTCCGTGGACGTACATGCAGCCAGCCTGGGTGGGGAAAGGGGGACAGGAGTTACAGAGCCAGGAAAAGCAGGATTGGGCTTTATTCCCACCCCACAGCCTTCAGCAGAGCTGTCACTGCCTCAGCCACTATGGAATCCTCTCAGTCAAGGGAGGAATCACTGCTGGAGGGGCCATGTGTCATCCTAAACCACATATCCACCACCTCTGAGTGCTTTGCTCTGAGTTTTAGGTGATTTCTATGCCAAGAAATCCATTTTAGGAGTGTGGCAAACTGTTAATAAAGTAGTACAGAGCCATACTCATGTTCCAGCTAAAAATAACGTATTTTTAAACTACACCCACCTCACACAGACATCCTGCATTCCCTTGGCTCAGCACAACCCTGCTCCAAGGATGACAGGAACACAGAGAGATGGGAAAAACTCAGCTGCTGAGTGGCTTTTTTTTTTCCCACAGGCTGGCAAAGAAAGGGCATTCCAGCTGTCCAGGCAGTCACTGAGCTGCCTGGGAAACACCTTTATCAGGCTTCCTAGGAAAAGCTGCATTTATAACACTCTCCAAACACCAAGGAATGTGATCTCTGCCCTAAGGAGATGAGGAGCAGAAGGAGGTGAAGACACAGCCAAAGGCACTTCTTGCTGCCTGTTAATTACCAATCCCAGATCTCCAGACTTCTACTTAAGGCCAAAAGCTCTGGCAATACCAACATTCCTTAGTGGCTTCCAAAGGGTTGGAAACAGCCTCATCCAATCCTTCACCTCAGGCTGTTCTCAGTAGGATAAAATCACTACTCAGGGAGTATTTGTGCTTTTTTTTTTTCCTTTTACAAGCAGGAACTGCTGTTCCCACACAGACTTTAAAAGCTCAAATTCTGCATTATTTCTTTCAGAAAGCAAAATCCATAGTGTGGCTCCACTCTTCAAACAGCAGCAGGAAGAAGAGCCTCCCAAAAGCTGCTGCATGCAGTGGAGATCACTTCCTTGGGAACATCAGCTCTATTTGCAACCCACAGCAAGGTAAGAGTGCTTGGATGAAGAATCCCAGCTCCAGAGGAACAAAAGGAGTCACTTACTGGGGTGACAGCAGCACAGTGGAAGTACACAGGCTCTGGCATGGCAGCTGGGAGCTTGACCCACTGGAAAGTTTGGAGGTTCAGCT